TGGTTGCTTGTGGAAAGTTAGAAGTACGATATTAGTTTGGATGGACCATTGTGACATGATTCTGGATGAGATGGTTCTTGATCAGAATTGATGGTCATATGGAAATATGGAAATGTTTTCATAATGGGAGATGGTTGAAAAGTCTACATGTAAGTTGGAAACATTCACGCAAGAGAAGGGTTCAAGGAGTGTACCTTGAATTTTAACTTTCATTACCATGTAATTGTTTCAAGTGACAAAGTTCCAATTGGATATTTTGTAATATCGAAGACTTCGACTTTGAGACTTTGGAAGCTTGATATCACAGGAGATTAATGCATGTTAAGTTGGAATTCCATCACATTTTGGATAGTGATAAGAATTTGGAATTGTGAAATGAGCATCATTGGAATAATGTCCAGTTAATCTGTTCACAAAAGGAAGGACCATTGAGAGGCATAGTATGCATGTTCATAACATGGCATGACTAATGTTTAATTCAAGTGGTTAGTTGATTACTTGAAACATTATATAATGAATAAATTTGTAATTATTATGGTGATTAAATAATGGAGATTATTTATATTCAATAGAATTGAGACCATAATTAATTAGTTTTTTATTGTGTTTCACTTTGCATGTTTTGCCTCCTGAATAATTTGATTATTCGAAATTCCACAGTCGCTCATACTTTTGGAAGTAAATAGTGAATTAAGACTATCATGAATTAAGTTTTGATTTACTATGGAGATTAGACGTTGCAATGGTTGCTACAATATTCATGAGTACTTAAAATGGAGATTTTGAGTATTGGATAAACCCACGCTCAGAGAATTACTTCACAGATTTTATCATGAGTAATTGTGAGATGATAATATATTTGTTCTTAAAATAGAGATATATGAGTTGTAATTTACAAGTCGGTTGTGCATTGGTATTGCGAAACGCATCTGTAACGTGATGTCATAAAACGTAGTGTCATGCATGGTGTGGTGAGTAAAAGATACAAGCATATAAGTCGAAGTTTATTCGTTCCTTTTATCCTAACGAGAAAAGCGATATCTTTGGGCCCCTCGATGATTTTTTGTCGACTTCTGAAGTGCTTGGCCGAGCCCAAACCAAATTGATGTGTTCACTTAGTAGTTTAAATTTTGTCATCATAAATCAGGTAATCGAGGAACAAAATATTGGACTATGAGATTGATTCTAATCTATGTCTCATGTCAATACGATATCTTATAGAACGAAGGAATATTTGATCACTTATCTTAGGGCCAATGTCTAATTAAATTAGAGTTCGACAGTGGTTTTGGAACGCACTCTTTGATGTTTGGTTATACTTGCAATTATAGTTATAGACTTATCCAAGTGGGAGACTGTTAGATTAAGGTGCCTAAGCTTATAACTAAATTGGTATAAACTTGAAAAAAATAGATGCAAAGTCCTTTTGGGTTGCCCTCATAACCAGAAATAGCTAAAAATGATACTAGTAAAAGAGAGAAAGAGAGAGAGAGAGAGAGAGAGAGAGAGAGAGAGAGAGATGTTTTGTTAATATATCTTATGTGATTAATATATTAATTGGGAATATATAATTGATATGTTAATTTGTTCTGTGATTAATAAATTAATATGAGATCAATAGTTAAATAATTGATTTACTAATATTAATAAGAAATCAATTAAAATTAATTAATTATTAATCTGAATTAATCTGAAATTAATTTGAGATTAATTAAAGGTACAAGAGGGTGAATTATAATTGTTTAATAGTTAAACAAAAGAAGCAATTCTAGAATGTTCCAAGGGGTGAACGAAATTGGGAGTCTTTCTAGGGTTTCCAGAAGCTTCCTGGTTGCATAAAAAGAAATGATTTGAATTAGGATTAAATCTATTATTTAATCAATTTAGATTCTGCTTTGCTTGCAAGTTACCTAAATTATAAATAGGACCTCAAGGCCATCCATTTTCATTCATGACATTCCTAAGAGTATTAGGAACGAAATCTCCTTCTTTTTCCACACTCTCCTCTTCAATCTAGGATTTCTAGGGTTTTTGGTGTGAGCCATCAGAGGCACGAGATTTCTGATGCTTGCTTTCTAGAGCTTGTTCAAGAAGGATTTTATTGATTATTTACAACAATAATCAAAAGGTACGTAAAACGTAATCCCTTTGTGAATTTTGAAAATAGTAGGGTATTCCCAGGGTTCTTGATGTTCAATTGTTTGTTGCAATCAATAGAGAAAACTTAGATTCAAATAGGTTGTATGTGAACTTAAGTTAAGTTTTTCCGCCACATGTTTTAATTATAACCTATATGACCTATCAGTATTAACTATAGCAAAATTCTATATCTCAGCAACTACTAGTAATTAGCCAAGTTATACAAAATTTTCTATCTTTCAATAATGATTACTAATAGTTCCAACTATATAAGCTTGTTACACCATACTGCATTAATCGACAATAAATCTTAACTATATCAACTTATTATTCCATAAGCTATAATCTACAATTAATCTCAGTTATATTAGTTCAATACTCCGTATAATAATACTATGTTGTAAATTTCGAAAATTACCAAATTATTGATTTGGACAACATTTAATGATGAACATAATCATCATATGAATAACATAGTAATAACCACATATCTATATATCAATTATCTAGAAGAGAATAATGGTTACTCACCTTGAAATGTTGTATATGTATGAACATCCATCCCTTGAAGTCCTATTCTAATATTGTCAAAGTAGCATATAATTCTTGAAGTCCTATTCTAATACTGTCAAAGTAACATATAATTCTTGAGTATTACAACTTAATGTATAACTCATTTTTCTATCAACTCGACTCAATACCTTCCTTGAGTTCATACTTAATTATGTACACACTAATTATAGTCTATGAACTAGTTGTATATATGTATTAGTTCATTAAGACCTGAACTTAATTTTACCTTATTCGTCGTTCCATCAATTCGAGTGTTATAACTCAAGTATAAGTTATTTATAAATGACTTAATCTCGTGGCTTAAATTTTCATAATCAAAACTGATTATGCTCCATGAATAAGTCATCTATATGACTTAATCAAAACTGTTATAACTCAAGTATAAGTTATTTACAACCACCAAGTTTACTACAACAATAATATTAAGACTCCTTCAATAATAAACATACATAAGTTAGGTTTCCACCATCATTCTGCCGTTACCCATGTACACATTAACTAAGATAGTAAGAGGATGTAATTACCTTCAATTATAAGTAGTAGATCTAGGTGATTGTTGCCTTGGATTCTCCTTTGTATATATTAGCTCCTACTTCCATCATAACGCTTTCAAAAATCTCCCTTACTGAGTTCCTTGGAGTGTGTGTATGAAATTTGAAGTAAAGGACCGACATATCGTGTTTATACCTCGTTTTATGATGTTATCCTCGACATGTTGCATGATCTAATATTCACACGTTGTGTACTTACCATCTTCATATTTCAACAATTTACTTTATCCCAAAGTTCGATGACCATAACTTCCTCATACTAATTCCGTTTTAACCGATTCTTTCACCCATACACTCTAAATTATGATGGCTACACTCCAAGACTAAAATTTTATCATTTAGAGCCCAATAAGTCTCACTTACGTAATCTGAAACACCGATTATTAGCTAATAGTAGAATGAATATAAATTCAACAAATATTCTCGAAACTACACAAATTCTAGTGTAGTATTTTGCCAACACATCTAAGAGTTATTATCTACACCCTCGATTTACTCTTATACATTCAGAAATTATGGTGTTACAAGCTCTCATCACTTTAAAACATTTCATCCTTAGAATCATAAGTGAGGGCACTTTAGTCTTAACTCCTTCCCACATTCCAAATACATGACTACACCACTACATCTTTCGTAACATAATACATGGATACATCAAGAATAGTCTCAAGTTTTTTTAATTACTCTAGATATTAGGTACTAATTAGCTCCAAGGAGTAAGGATTAATTGAGCAAAATAGATTGACACATTTTATTTTTCATTCTCTCTCTCTCTCTCTCTCTCTCTCTCTCTCGAGATGGAGAGGGAGAGAGAGAAAGAGATAGATTTGTAAGTTAGTTATGGATGGAGAGATAATAAGATTTGAAAGTAGACTTAGGGGTTAGGCCTTACGGTATACAAGGCACGAGCTCCTCTCGTGGCCATGATTGTGCACACCATTCCAAGTTCCACGACCGTGCCGTTTTGTGATGCGTCATACGGGAAGTAACAAACAAATAAAGAAGAAGCTTGAGGCATTACCAATGGGGAAGAGTATGGATTGTCTCAGTCAATCTCATTCTTCTCCATGTTCATCTCTCTTCTTCATAAAGGTGGTTCATGTTACATGTACACAATAAGGAGATGGTGGTGATGTGAAAGGAGATGACGTAAGGATTATACCTCATGGCCTCAGGTGAAAGATGATTTATTGTTAGTCAAATATTTTTTATAATTATTTATGAAATCCAAATGATAATGTAACTGATAGTAAACCCGTAAAATTAGAGTTTTGGTAAAATCCTAATAAGAAAAAAGTAGGAGTGATTTTGTTGAAAAAAAATCAGCAATGGTTTTCCTATAAAATTGATTGAACCACAATGTTTTTTTTTTATGTTATTTACATTTGAAAATATTATATGATTGTTATAAATTAATATTTTATAAATAAAACAATATTAAATAAGTAATAAAATAAATTAATTAGTAAAAAAATAATAATAATTATTTAAAATTTAAATACATTAAAGGATGCGAAATGAGTTATTTTTGAATTAAAAGGATTTATATGTACAAAACTTAAAAGTAAAATAAGCATTCAATAGATTTATCAATGAAAAAACAAAAAGAAAATAGCAACTGTAATGGTGTTGAATGATCAACCAAATATTAATTATGCATAAAAAAATACTTCCAATAAAGATGCTTTTAAAGTTTAGAATATCATTTACAAAAGTGAAGAATGTAATAGAAAACTTCCAAGATCAATTAAACTTACTTACAATAAAATATAAACAAATAAATCAAAAAGCATAAATAATTCACACCCATTCACTATGTACTACCGAAAGGGACATGTCATGAAAACACCAAACATGCGATCTCTTTCATACGCAATAATTTATTAATTATCTGATTTTTCATTTCCCTTGTGTTTCAATGTTTCATTCCAACCTCTATCTTTGTTCTTTCACATGGTTTCTTCGGTTGTCTGGTCCTTAATGAAACAATGGGCCGAACAACAACATGAGCCTCTAATCGATATACCGCAATCCACCTTTCAGTCCATTTCCACCCCCAGTTTTCTTTGCTTAGATCATAATAAGCTTGGCCAAAATATCGACTTGAATTAGCTCTCCACTATATAAAATCATCATAACATAATTTCAGTTTCATTGATTTCAAAACCAAAAAATTCATAAAGACGAGAATTTTTTTTGTGAGGATGTACTTGATGAGAAAATGCATATGCTAATGCTCGTTCACGTTTGTTACTTGCTTCCTCTCTTTGTTGTATCCTCCTGAATGTGGTTTCCACCATTGTCTTAGGCCCATCACACCATTTCATCTGTTAAATGGCATTGTTAAAGAATCCATAACATGAGGTTTTTTTTTCATTGTGAAAAAAAAAACAATGGAAAATCTTATCACCTATTATGGCATGTTTTTGAAAAGTTATTATGAATTTACAAGCTCTTGTAAAGAGCTTTTTCAGTTGTGTTTTGGCCTTTTATTTATTTTAATGTAACTTTTAAACGGACCAACTTATATAAAATCAATAAACTTATATAGATCAAAATCGGTAAGTGTTATAAATAATTTGATGAAAAAGCTCTACTATCATGAAGATGTATTAAGCCTTATAAATTGTTGAGTTAGACGTTGAGATGTTATGAAAAAATTTAAGGAAAAACTCTTAATAGATCATCTCTAATTCATCTCTAACTTTTTAGACCAAATGAAAAAAAAAAAATTGCAAATAGTGTTTATCTATGACCCTATTCTATTTAATATTTTTTTAACCAAAAAAAGTACATTCCCAATATATTCTTTTGTAACTTATATTAAATGGTAAAAGACACACTTATATTAATTAGCTTCTAATAAACATGTAATTTTTTTATTTTTTAAATCTTTTTTCTTGTAAAAAATTATAAATTATATTATCTTAAAATTATAACAAATTGTTCGTATATTATGGAATAGTTTTAAATCAAAATTTATTAAATAAAAAACCACATTCATAAAACACTTTAAAAAATATATATTATGCATGCTTTTATGAATTCGAGACATAAATATTAAACTTTATATTTGTAACTAATTAATATCATTCGATATACAACACGATAAATAAACTATTAATTATTACATTTAAATTATATATAATATTCAAAAGTAAATTAGAAATGTATAAACATAAAACAAGATTAAAATTGACAACCGAAAGTTTTATTGCATTTTGGTGCAAAAGAATATTATTACTTGAGTAATACTATTTATTTACCAAGATGGATTGAAATATTAAATGGGATTAGAGAGTAATGAATTTGGAAATAAAGTAAAACACAAGTTTAGGAAATGGATAAAAAATTCTACTAAAGCTCTCAATGGTTTTTTGCGGGTCCTATCTCGAGACGTCATTCCTCCCTTTCCCTCTATCTCTTTTCTTCTCTTCATTTACTAACAACTTACTAGTGGAATACCATTTCTTAATATTGGTGAAAACCTAGTGGAGTTGATATTGGCCTATGTGACCATCTATTTATGCCTAACACCACCACCTGTTCCTTTTAGCTTAAGGCTCAAAGATTTTTTGAACTCGTATATAAGTAGGATTTGAACTCCCATCTTCAGAAAAAATTATCAAGATAGGTTCTATCTTATATAAGTAGGATTTGAACTCGTACATTATTCATTAAAAATAGTCATTGTTCAAAAATAGTATATTAGGTCATATCGTTCGGGATATTAGTTTTATTATCTTTCAGTTAAGAACTTATAAACAAATCCCTTGTTTATTGATACTCATTCTTGCAAATTTACAATGCTTCTTGGGTCTTTTTTTACAAGAACAAAGAGTTGCTTTTAAAGAGTCAAAGGACGATAATGCAAAAACATAGATAAAAGTCAGGGGGTTTGTAGATTCCGATGGTATATGATGGAGGTGGAATTTTAGATTTTGTTGAAATGGTGTATTAAGTTTCCAAATGGAATTATAATTTCGTCGAAGTCTTCAAGTTCCACTTTTAATAGATTTCTTCATTATTAGGGAAGATGTCTTTTAAAACACCATTCCCAGATCCAACTGCACTTTGGGCTAAGTTAATTCTGACACCACATAAAATGGAATGGGTATGGAAATTCTTCCCTGTCGGATTGTCGTGTAGCACTTAAACGCCTATATACCTTACAAGGTAGAACTCTCTAAACATGGGATTCGTGTACCTTCTACTCTTTGTGCTTTCTGTGGTAATGTGGAGGAAACATGAACTCATCTCTTTCTACAGTGTCGATGGGTAAAAGAAATATGGACTTTATTGGAGAGGTGGTGTGAATTAAGAACCTCTAAGATTAACTCTCTTGAGCAGCTTTTGTCCATCACACATGAATTCCTATAATCCCCGATGCAAAAGAAAATAACTCATGCTCTCATTTTGACCACTTTATGGTCCATATGGAAAGCAAGAAATAACAAAACTTTCAGCTCGATGGTAACATCACCGATTCAGGTTATAGCTGAAATATAGGCAAATGCATTTCTTTTGATAAATAACAGAGGGAGAGATTTCTCACTTTGTTGGGAAAATTGGTGCTTGTTTCCTTTCATGGTCCACTAGATGGATGTGTGTGATTAGGTTAGAATGTAGATGACATCTATTATGTGGATGTGTGTCTATGAGAATAAATAAGATAATAAGTTGTTTGGTAATGTTCAACATCACACAACTATCGTCATTATCATTGAATCTCACTAATTCGTATTCATTTCTGTTTTCATGTATGGTTTTTCATTCATTTTCATTATTACAGAACATAATGAGAATCATAAAAACAAAGAGTCTATTATATCCTTATAGACGATTTAGTTAATAAAAAACTTAATTGTATATTTTTACAATAAAAAATATATATCTAGATATAAATAAAACTTCAAAATTATTAAAAACAAACACCTTTAGAGATTTTGTTTTTTCAGGATTTTAATTATTTCATAATCCAATTTCATTCAATTCATTCCAAAAACATTATACTAACCAAACACATCCAAACTTTTGGCGTTAAATATCATGTGGTAGGGATTTAAGTTGTACCTCAAGTTCATGAAGCTTGGACTCAACTTTCAACCGATCTTCAAGTTTCAGCTGCTTTATTCGGCTTTCTTTGACCATGCACATGCGGCGACTGTTGATTTCCGCCTGGATTTTGCTCCAAAAATGCAATCTTTCAAGAGCAGTAGAAGCTTGTCTAAAGGTAAGTTTATCCTTACATCTCGAGATCCCTTGGAGATAACGTAGCATCTTCCTTGCCTATCATTAATTTAGTTGTATACAAAACAAGAGTATCATCAAGAAACGTTCTTTTATACCACAACAATGATATCACTTTTGAAATTCTAACACGGGCTACCCGGGATCCTTAGTAAACCCGCACCTGTTTGTGGGTCCCATCCTTATTACATGTACATGAGACCCACAAAATGGAAAACATAAACACATACCTTATATGCTCGAAATGCACTTTGGATTCGTATAGCGGCCAATTCCTTGGTTCCCATGCTAAGACCTTTAACTTCTCTACTAGAGACAAGAAATCCCAATTCCTTCTCCATAGAATACCCGTTCTTTGCGCCTTTTGAATCGATGGAATCATGTTGTATCTGTTATAACGAGCATTAAGTGTCCCTTGGGAGACATCCGATAAAATTGGAACAAGTAAAATAATAAGCATATATGATCTAGCTTTTCGTATTAAGTTTGTTCTGGTTAAGCCCATGAATTAAGAAAATATATAACGTAAATTACATTCAATTTAAATTTCAAATTACAAAGATGAAAATAAGATCGTATCGGTAAAGCCATTACCTTCAACTTTATGGGCGTATTTTTCTTCTTTCTCTTATTGCGACTTATCATTTTAAACCAATCACAAACACCCATTTATGCCGATGAAATATTGCAAACACCTAGCATAAAACTATATAGTTAAGAAACTACATCGAAAACTTCTGTTGATACAAATGAATTACATATATGAAACAATTAAGAAGAATAACCTTGTAAACACCACACGGATTATAAACCCAAACAAGATCACAAGAAAACTTTGACACACAACCATGCTTGAAGCAAGTCACAAAATACAAATCATATAAACAACAAAGATTACAAAAAACATTTGACAAATTTCCTAAATTCCAAAAGGCAACTCATTAAGTAATTAACAACAAAGATAAGTAAGATTATATGTGATTAAATACAACAAAAACAATCACAATAAAAGCAAGAATATATATACCTGAATTGCAGTGGTGAAATAGTGAGAAGAAACTGAAAAGGGTACAGAAGATATGGACATTGAATTGGGAAAATGAATAGTTGTAATAGCATGAAAAAGGATGGAAGGAGAAGTGTCATAATCCATGGCTATATTTGGATCAACTTTCACAAAGTGGAATATGGCTTTAGGTATGGAAGAATTCTCAGAAGTTGACAGACGGACTAGATTTGTAGGTGGAAGGCTTTAAACTCCAAGAACCTTCAATTATGAACCCTTTGGAAAATGAAACCTCAACGTAGAATGCTTTGAACAATGAAACAAGCTTATGTGCAACACTCTCTTGTCTGTTGTCCCAGAGACTAAAAAAAGTATTATAAATATATAATTAATTTTTATTTTTGAGAGAAAAATATATATTAATTATTTTTTATATGGCCAAATTCCATAAACATCTGATATTTTTTTTGTTTAACCACAAAAGTATTTTTATTTTTTCTTTTAACCACACTATGATTTTGTATATCTTTTTATAAAAAGAGAGAAAATTAATGAAATAGCCAAAACCACTAATTACTTATCCATTTTTAGCTAAAAATTAGCAATTGTTCCAAAATAGTCACAAAACCGTAGACGATTAGGATTGCCTACTCTTTTGCCCTAATACCTACAGTTTCGGTGTGTGTGTGTGTATATATATATATATATATATATATATATATATATATATATATATATATATATATATATATATATATATATATATATCATTTTTGAAATCGAAAACCATATACGGTATGCTCTCGATGGCCTATGGTCTCTCAAACCGTAGGTATTTAGAAAAATACGGTTTCTGCAAGAAACCAACTGTTTGTTTGTTTTTTTTGTTTTTTTGTTTTTTTGGACTACTTATTTGTAAAAATTGTCTATTTTTTAGGAGTTGAATATTGTATTGTACCTACTATATATATGAAATTGTTTAGATTAAAAGTTTGTGAATTTTCTTCTTTAGTTTTTTATCTCTCAAAACTCATAGAATGAGTTCAAACGAGTATTTCGTAGTGCTTATCACTGACGGAATATTAGAGTTTGTTAATTCCTAACTATCGTATGCATGGCCACCGGGATACATTCCGAAAATGTTTTATTACGGTGTTGAATTTTATGACACCACCACATTTACTGAATCTGTTTATTTGGTGAAAAGCATGATGTATATTCCTAATGAATCAAAAGTGAGCCTGTCTTATCAACATCCCGACTAAATGTATTATTGTGCTATTGTTGATGATCGTGATATTAGAAAATTCATAAAGGTAATAAATAATGTTGGAGGTAAACTTGTGTCAGTGTATGTAGTGGTTGAAGAAGGTGTTGGGGTAACGAAGTCACTGATAGAGGAAAGACATCTGCAGCTAACTTATCCAACGGAAAAGGGAGCAACACCACAATAGGTAATTTTACAACTCCAAGTAAAGTCAATATCATAGTGTTGTTGAAAATGTAAATGTGGTGCCAGAACCGATTATGTATGTTCAACCAAAGAATTATAAGTATATCAGTGATGATGATGATGTTGGTACATATATTAATGATGTGGGTGCATGTCATTACTTTGACCATAAACCACTAGCCGTGGTCAATGAGGTCGGTAATGAATCTTGAAAACAAGAAGTTCCTTTTTTGAATGATGGTGAACTAAAAGGATATGGGGAGTTTGCGGATTGTGACAATTTGGATATATCCGACCTAGAGAGTGATTCTAATGGAGAAGAATCGGATTATAAGATATGTCTATTTGGTTATTTGTTACCATTGTTACACATTCAAGGCTAGTATGGTGGAAAATAGTTTCGCTCAGACTCAAGAAATTGATTATGGAGAAACATTCTCACCGATAGCTGAGAAAATGTCTATTTGGTTATTTGTTACCATTGTTGCCTTCTTTGATTATAAGATATGGTAAAATGGATGTTTAAATGAATTTCCTTAACACGAAACTTTTGAAGGATGTACGATACATCCTAGAAACATTTTAACATACAAAGTATCCAAATAAATTGTGTAAGCTTGAGAAGTCTGTTTAATGGCTTGAACAAACATCGCATAACAATAATCTGTGCTTCTGTGAAAAGAGTCAAAGGGTATTGTCTTTTTAAAAGTCCAAATGAGTCTCGAGTATATTTGAAAGCTAGTGAGAGTGTCTTTGTCTTTAGGGTAATGCATCTTGATGACAATACTGCTCGTAGGAAACATTGTCCCTAAGTTGCAAAGTGCAAAAACACGAGAATTATTTCGTTATGATTGAATTAGGGGAAACGACATTTATACTTGGTGTTCGGATCTAAAAGTATAAATCAGAATGTTTAATAGGATTCAGTCAAAGCACATATATGAATAATGTATTAAAAAGTCTCAACATGGAAAATTTTAAGAAAGGGATTGTTCCTATGCATCATAGTATGGAGTTGAGCAAGGTTATAGAACTCGCTACTCGGTACCTGTTCGGCCGACTATCGAGTAGCGAGTACTCGGGAGTACTCAGGAGTACTCGGGTAGTACTCGGATTCGGTAATTCATGTAGAAATATTTTTAGGGAAATTATATATGTCAAAATCTTAAGTTAAAATCATAATTTGATTGAAATATATAACAAAATTAGATACACATAAATACATAAAAACTGAAAAACACACAATGCTCTCACTTCGTGAATAATTACTAAAACTTTAAGATATATATGTAGTAATAATCACATGTGAGTGTGTTAAATAATAAATCATTAAGTATATTATACATATTAATCACTGATTTGGCCGAGTTTTACAACACTGTTCGCTTCTGTAAGGGGCCGATCGGGGAGTACTCGGATTTTGTAACTCGCCTTGGTAAGGGGCATAGTAGGGAGTACTCGGCCGAGTAACCGTCCAACTCGGCGAGTTTTACAACACTGGAGTTGAGTGAATCTCAAAGCCTTTGTTCTAGTCATGAAAATGATAGGATGAGTCGAGTCCCATATGCTTTGGATATAGGATCAATCATGTATGTTATGACTTGTGCTTGTTCTACTATCTTAGATGCTTTGAGCATTATGAGCGAGTATCAAAATTTGCACGACTGAATCGTTGGACAACTATCAAGAGCATTCTGAGGTATTGAAATACACTAAAGAACTGGTTACTCGTAGACAGTAGAGGACATGTTTGAGAGGAGCTATGTAATATGATTTTTTAGGGATGACTCTAAGTCATAGTCTGAGTGGACATTCATTTTGAATTGTAGCATGAAACGTTTTATGTAGGAGAAGGTGGTAAACTCCACAATATGAGTCGGATTACCTTAGTGCAAGTGAAGTATCTAAGAAGCGTACCTGGACTAGAAAACTTGATAGTTGACCTTGGAGTTTCTTTGAGTAACAAATTGCCATCGGAAATATTCTATGAAGGTGCAGTCGCGTTGACTAATGATCCTTGAGACCATAGAAGGTCAATGCATAAAAGGAAGGAATTTAACTACATCCAAGAAAAGATTGAGGGATGGAGATCTAATTGTTAAGTGAATATCTTTATGATGATTCGTTTACGACGGTGATGGACAAATGATGAAAAGTTTAGTTGTTAAGTTGATTACCCTGGAACATTTATACCCCAAAACATTGTATGACACCATAGCCAAATAGTTTATTATTGTGTTTCTTTTTGCATATTACTTATTGAGTAATTAATTTACTCGAAACTCTATAGTCATTCATACTTTGAAGAGTAAGTAATGATTTAAGACTATAATGGAGTATAGTAGATTGTACATGGTGATTGGACATGGCATAGAGATTGTTGCTATACTCATGAGTACTTAAATGGAGATTTTAAGTATTGGATAAACCCCGTGCTTAGTGATTACTTCATGGATTCAATCACGAGTAATTCTAAGATGATAATATCTTGTATAAAGGAAAAACGCATGGAATGATGTTATAAAATATAGTTTCGTGTATGGAATGGTGAGTAAAAGTTGTAATTATGTAGTCAAAGTTTATTCGTTCTTTTTCCATAAAGGAAAATTGATATCTTTGAGCCCCTCAGTGATTTGATGTTGATATTCATGTGCTAGGCCTAGCCCGGACTAAATTGATGTGTTCAATTTGTAGTCTGAATTTAGTAATCGTAAATCAGAAATCAAGAAACAAAATCTTGGACTACGAGATTAATTTGTATCAATGTCTCGTGCCCATACGATATCTTGTAGTACGAAGGAATAAATGATTACTTATCTAAGGTCCAACGTTTAATTATATCAGAGTTCGACAGTGGCAGTGGAAAGCACACGTTGCTGGTTATTCAAAGTCTATATTTGCAATTGTAGTTGATGAATTGTCCAAGTGAGAGACTGGAATAAGTGTCCAAGGTCATAACTAAATTGGTCAAAGTCAAAAAAATTTATGGAATAAAATAAAGTACTTTTCGGGTTGTCCTCAATAACAAGAAATAGTTAGAAATGACTTTAGGACAGAGATAAAATGATTTGTTAGTTTATTATATGATTAATAAATTAATTAGGAATAGTTGGAATTAATTAATTATTAACCCCAAATTACTCTGGATTTAATTCAGGGTTAACTGAAAGTAATTAAAGGTGCAATGTCTGAATTGTAATTGTTCATAATTGAGCAAGGAAGACAATTCTGGATGGTTATATAGAATGGACTGTTTTATGGAGCCTTTTAGGGTTTCTGGAATCTTCTTATAACTAATAAGGATAAATGTATTAAATAGATAAAATATGATTATTTTATTATTCGAATCATGGTTTATCCTGGAGATACCCTAGCTATAAATACCTTCCCTTGGGCATCATATTTTGTGGTTCTAACTTCCTAAATGACCGAATACGATTTCCACAAGTCACATCTGCTCTCCTTTTGATTTCTAGTGTTCTAGGGTTTTACGACTGAGCCATTAGAGGCGTTCATATTTTTGGCGCTTGCTTTCCACGAGCTATTTGTGACAGCCCAAATTTCCAATAAAAAATTTTCATTTTAAATAATCAAATCATTACCATAAGATATAAAATT